GATGAAGAATCAAGTGGACTAGCAAGTAATAGTGTATTTGATGTTTCAGCAGATTTTATTTCGAATATTTGATCAGATGTACATAATGTAGCAGAATCATCATGAGCTCCTCGAATCACTAGTCTAGATAAATTATTTTACATAGAAAAATGTTTTCGGTACTTTTCGCGAATTTAAAAGAATAGTTAGATTTTATAATCTTACGAAATTAGAAATTTTCTGAAAAATAGTCTTTTTATAATTATCCAAAAATGATGTAAACAATATATAGAATTTGGAAAAACACTTAGGACATACCAAAATCATGGGATTGCCCATGCATAATCGATTTGTTTCAATAGATGTGTTGAAATATTTTTTTTTCAGATAATCATTGATTGAAAAATTTCTCATGTCGATTACAGCACTGAATTTAGTGATGCGAAACTATTTTGATGGATTAAATTTTCTGGATATGATCTATTGAAGAAATATGGCAAACACATGAAGTAGTAGTAGGTGCGCAATGTTGAATCTATGATACATAAATGAACTAAAATTTCCCGAAATAGAAGAATTATAAGCACAAAACCTACAAGAACTATAGTTTGACATAACATGTCAGCGTCAAAGTGATTCTTTGTATCTCTCCTTAAAACAAGTGATCAAACACTCTAGAACACGGGGAAAATCTGAAGAGTAAACAGACTACTCATGACCAAAACTTTATCAATATTCACCTTCAGATATTATCAACTAAATGATAAAAGCAAAGGTCATGAGCTAGTGCATAGAAGATTGAAGATCATTATGATAAACATTAAATCATATATTTGTAAAGATTTTTTTTTTTACTATTTCCACTCATAGTTCATCATCATTATTTCCTAGTTGTATTATGCGTCTGATTCAGCACTATACAGTTTTCGTGTGCTCCATCTAACTGATCAACTTCATTACCCAAACAACTCCTGATCACTGTATTCAGTACTCTAACCGAAATTAGAAATTTTTCAATCAATAATGATTCGAAAAAAACCTTCAATAGATGTCTTGGAACAAACCGATTGTATATGGGCAATCATGATTACTAGCTTAAATGTTGACTAAAGTAAAAACTTGATTAACTTTATTTTAATGTTTTTATCTCCAGGTGTCACTACTTTTGTTGTGCAATATGTAAATTAATTTTGAGACTAGTTTAGTTTTATTAATCATCCGTTATGAATAATAGAGAACAACGTCTCATCATGCTTTCAAATTATACACATAACGATCTATTCTATAAAAAATCATTGAAATACTCGTGATCATTATTTATGTTCTCCAATCAAGCAATCTATGTATGGCAAAGATTGATTAAGAATTGTTTAAATGTAAACAAGATAAATAATATTAAACACCATTATAGAACACACAAGTAATATGTGTATTTTCTTTTCAATTAATATCTAATGAATATTAATTATATTCAATTATCTTTCAATAGAATTTTTGTAGCTTAGATAATATCATGTGATAGAAAATGAATTCAAGGCGGAAAGAAAACATGATAACGTAATTTTCTAATAATCTGATTTCTATTAAAGATTTATCATCTAGTTCGAAAATGAAATATTACTTTTTACTCTTATCTAATTCTTCAATTAATGAATTGTTAACTTCAAGTAATCGAATAGAATCATCAGGAAAATGTTCACCAATAGTCAATTCATAATAAATTGGTTTTAATTGTTCAATTGGTATTCTTGCATCAGTTAATAGTTTTTGTACATTTTCAGGAAAATGTTTTATCTCGTCGTTCATCTTATTCTATCTGGAGGAGAGAAGAATTCGATCAATCTGACTATCAAATAACGTAAAAAGAAAAAAAAAACAGGATTTCATATTGAAATGTAAAAGAAACAGAAAAATTCTATAGGAATGAAAAAAAATTTTTTTTTTGTCTTGTTTGAGAAATGACTAGTAATCAATCTTCTAGAATTCACAAATACAAATAACATTCAAAATATAAAGTAACGTTGAGCTAATGGTAAACGAGCAGCAAGTGGTAATGGTTCATGAACAATTTTTTCACCATCTTTTTCGAGTGTTATTTGACCGGTTGATAAATCAACATCAATTTTTGGTGTATTTTCATTACGAATCATATGTAAACGTGTTATCATACGAATATCGTGTACAGCTTCAACATGTTTACATATTCCATAAGAATTTGATGCACTTAATTCAGCACATGCCTAAATAATAATAATTAATTTAATTATATTTTTGTTAATTTAAAACAAAGCAAAACAAACAAAAAAATAAATATTTACTTTTGAAACAAAAACTACTGAATTTGCATTTGGACTTCGACCAACGGCACCAAATTTTTTTCTTAAACAAATTGGTTCTGGTCTTACATCAGCATAAACACCAATACCAGCTTGTGACCATGATACTTGACCACCTTTTATTATCGTTTCAGGTTTAACACCAAAAAACATCGGTTGCCATAAAACAAGATCAGCCATTTTATGTTGTTCAACTGAACCAATAACATGTGCACAACCATGTGTTAATGCAGGATTTATTGTATATTTAGCTATATATCGTCGAACACGATTATTATCATTAGAATTTTCCTAAAGAAATTATTAGTTTATGATCGATAACAATCAATGATAGAAATCATACTGTATCATCTGGTAAATAGCCTGTAATAGCTTTCATTTTATCAGCTATTTGCCATGTTCGTGGTACAATTCGACCGACATGACCACCAGACTATCAAAAAAAAATTAAATTTGTTTTTTTCTTTTTTTAGTACTTTAAAATCTCGATTGTGTTACTTGTGA